ACGGTTTCGACGATGATGGCCGAAGCTGGGCCAACCGGGCCGGCTCTGCTCGTAGGAAGGCCCGTGAGTTCGTGGTCGGAGGGTGGGAAATGGGCCGGTCGGATCCGAGGAAAGTCATATTCGCAGCTAAGATGGGGTTCGCGCTTGCGCTTGTATCTTTGCTTATTTTTGTGAAGGAGTCGTTGAAGGAGATTAGTAGGTATTCTGTTTGGGCTATTCTCACTGTTGTCGTGGTTTTCGAGTTCAATATAGGTAATTTTCTCAATCTCCATCGAGTACAAATTCTATAAGAATACTTGCATTATTATAAAAGAACTTGGATCTCCATGGAGACCGACCATCATGCGAGAGAGCGGTACACTCAACTACTTTTGGGGAAAATGATCGATCCATCCATAAAATTGTAAATGATCTGGTATTAAACAATCAATTAAGTCACTTGTCATTTACGTGCAATATTGATTGTAACCTGCCCAGCACATCTTTCCATTTGCCAATCATAGGTAGGGTACAACAAAAGAAGTTTAAATTTTAAGCGAGTTTTGTGAGACACCTCAAAGATCAGGGGGCTTTGTGGTATCAAGAAGTTAAGGAGAATATACGTGCAAGACTTCCCAAACTTCGTGAGGTTTTGTGAAATTAACTCTAATCTTAAGGATGCATGCTCTTTTGGTGCATCAGATATTCATGGGATGGGATTTGGTATTCTATCGTAACTTCTTTTGCACTCCTACATCACAATTTCAATTAGTTGGGGGTCCAATATCAATACAAAGCTTGAAGGGTCCGGCATCTAAAAAATTGGTATAAGAAGAAAGGACAAAAAAAAAAAAAAAAAAACGATAAATCTAACAAACAACCTGAACCGTGGAGTGATCTGTACAAAGTTCTCCTAAACTTTGAAAACGTAGATAAGACCCCTTAAACTTTGGAGAGTTTAATAAAATCTTTCAGTTCACATGAATTTGGAGCAAATTTACTCTAGTGTATATATCAAGAAGAGAGGATAAGGGAACTTTTACGGCTTTATGAAGGCAACAAGGATTTATTTCTTAGAAAAAGGCTTTTGTCATATATTGGATCCTCAATATTAATTCTTGTTAATTCTACATTAGACAATCAAATCATCGTATTCCCAAATGATACCCCTTACCTAATTATGTTGTTGAAAATAATTTACACCCTTAATCTGTTAAATCGTTCTAAAGAATATCCTATTTCGATCAACTATGAACATTTCAGGTCTAATTTAGGAAACTAAGCTTTGAGGAACTAGTATAGCGTTATCAAATGTTTGAGGGTCTAATATAGAATTGTCATATAAGTAAGGGTATAACATGACAAGAACCCAATGTTTTTGGGCCTTTTTTAATATTTGTTCCTTATCTGTCATATTTTGATTTAGTCCACCAAATCATGGAACCTGCTGTTAGGGTCCTCACATCTTAAGTTATTTCGAAATTAGCTCCTCATATCATTGAAATTGCTATTGAGTACCTAAATCTTAGTTATTTTGAAAATTAGTCCCTCCAATCAAGAGTTAACGTGAGAATCAGAAGGATTAATTAAAATAACTTATGAGAATTTGTGTACCAATAGCAATTTCAATAATTTTAAGTGCCTAATCTGTCTCTATTTGTTGTTTTCACTCTTGATTTGAGGAACTAATTTCAGGATAACTTAACATTTGCGGGACTTAGCACGAACACAAGTGGATGCCCACCCCCTTGCAAGCTAGCAATTTCAACGATACGTTCTACCGGAAAAATAAAATCAACGATTTGAGGGACTAGTTGCAAAATAACTTAAGGAGTTTAGGAACCCAATAGCAATTACCATGATGTGAGGGACTGGTTCGAAATACGAAAGATATAATGTACTAATATCGAAGAATTTTTTTAAAAAAAGAGGGATTATCTTAAAAATCCCAATGTCCTTCGTCTTTCATCAACTCCAAAAGACGCCAATAGCAGATCTCCACGGACTTCCGACAAGATTCCATCTTTGTGTTCCGTCATAAACAAAAACAAACAAGACGAAAATCCCATTTCCAACTCTCTCTCTCTCTCTCTCTCTCTCTAAATTCATGGGATTACCACCAAAGCTCGGATCTTTCCACTACACCCTCAACCACAAGAGCAAAGATCGCCTCCTCTCCTTCAAACCCTTGCACCCCGACGACTCCTCCGACGACGATTTCTACGACGACGGCCGC